CTGATCGCAAAGCCCATGAAAGAATAACAACGATGAGGCAAGGCAAACGCCCAGTGGCTGAGTATACACAAGAATTCCGGTCCATTGCCAGCAAACTGAATTGGCCAGAAGACATCCTCCTTGGCCATTTCAAATATGGACTAAACTATGATCTATATGATGCTTGCCTACCCCGAGGGGACCCACATCGACTTGAGGAATGGTACGTCTTGGCAGAGGAAGCAGAGATCGACATATTGAAGAGGCACCGCCGAGGAAAACAATGGAGCCGCCCCCGCCTAAGCTGACACACCAACCGGTGAAATCATCGGATACAGCCAAGAAGCAAATGGGGTGTTTCAAGTGCGGAAGAGAAGGGCATCGAGCTGTAGAATGCCGCTCAAAGGCCCCCCCAGCACAACCCAGACAGATCCCCAATCAACAAACCCGGAAAGTATTCAGCTAAGCCAAAAGAAACGGCTATGAGAATGATGGAAATTGCAGAAACCCCCACCTCTGCTCACCAGGGGGAAAGGACTCCAGCCTACACCACAGGGCCGGTGGATGCCTCAGATGACAGCTCGGAGGGCGAACCCCTGGTAAGTGGATGCATCACACCCATCTCAAAACAGTGACTATATTAATCCCCCCCATCCCGAAGCCTTGAAAGGTGAAAGCCTTAATAGACTCTGGCTGTACCCCTTCCTCATTAGCCCAACACTAGTGGGGAATCGGGGCATCCCATCCAGGAGACTGGAACAACCAATCTCATTTGGCCAGCTAGATGGATCCATAGCAGGGGGGGTGCCAGCTACCCTAGCCACTTTGCCAATACATCTCTCCCTGGGCAACCATGAAGAGGACTTAACGTTTGTGGTGACCCCAGTTATGGAATGCCCAATGATTCTAGGGATGGAATGGTTGAAAAAATGGAACCCCTGGGTAAATTGGAGGACGACAGAAATCAAATTCCCGAAGGGGGACCCTATGGACTTAAAACCCCAAGGGAGGCTACCAGAATCAAGAATAGAAAAAGCATCATAGGAGAGGAAAAAAGATTAACAGAAATACCAGAGGAATATAGAGACCTTGCTGAAGTCTTCAGTGAGGAGAGGGCGAATGAGCTTCCCCCCACCGACCCACAGACTGTACCATTGAATTCAAGCCTGGGGCAAAACTCCCGAAGCCCAGATTATACTCCATGAGCCCAAAGGAGAAGGAGGAAATGGAAAGATTTATAAAAAAAACCTGGAGAGAGGTTTCATTGAACCAGCTAAGCCTAAAGTGGCTGCCCCGGTCCTTTTTAGAGAGAAGAAGGATGGCTCTTTATGCTTATGCGTGGATTATAGGGCCCTGAATACAATCAGTGAAAGCAACCTATACCCTCTGCCCCTCATGAAAGACATGCTGTCACACCTATCGAAAGGGAAAAAATTTTCTAAACTAGACCTAAGGGAAGCTTACTATCGCGTGAGAATTAAGGAAGGGGATGAATGGAAGACCGCATTTAACTGCCCCATGGGATGCTATCAATTCAAAGTCTGCCATTTGGATTACAAGGGGGCCCTGCAGTCTTTATGCAATTAATCAATGACGTTCTAAGGGAGCACCTGTTTAAGGGGGGTCCTTGTTTACTTGGACGACATTCTTATCTTCACCGAAACACAAGAGGAACATGTCAACCTCGTCAGAGCGGTTTAAAGAAACTGCGAGCCACCCACCTATATGCCAAACTCCTCAAAATGCGAATTCCACGCATGGAAAGGATTAGACTACCTGGCTATCGCATATCACACAGGGCACTTGAAATGGACCGAGAAGGTCAGAGCAGTATTAGAATGGGCACCACCCCCATCAAGAAAGCAACTACAAAGTTTCCTGGGGCTTTTGCAAATTTTTTAAAACCGACCAATTCATCCCCTCATTTGCACAGATAGCCTTGCCCCTCACTAACTTACTAAAAACGAAGGAACATCTCAGTAAAACCTAGCCATCCACTAACATGGACAATGGAGTGCCAAGCAGCGTTTGAGAGACTAAAGAGACTTTTTTCTGCCGAACCAGTACTAAGGCACCCAGACATGGACAAACCCTTCATAATACAGGCAGATGCAAGTGATGTGGCAGTGGGGCTGTGCTATTACAAGAAAATGATGATGCAGTATTGCAACCCTGTGCATATACATCCAAGAAACTCACGGAAACAGAACAGCGCTGGCCCGTATGGGAGAATGAGGCTTATGGGATACGTTGGGCATTACTCACGTGGCGACAGTTCCTGGAAGGCAACAAAATCCCCTTCCATGTATGGACTGATCACAAAAATTTAGAAGCCCTGAAAACTCCCAGGAAACTCAATCCCAAACAAGCCCGCTGGTCCCAGCATTTTCACCAATTCCAATTTAAGCTCAAACATTTACCAGGAAGAAAGAACTTCCTGGCAGATGCACTATCTCACATGCCCCAATATAACAGCGCACGAACCACAGACTCTAGAGCAATAATGGCAGAGTCACAACTGGCAGCACCAGTAACCACAAGAACCCAAGCCCAAATAAAACCACAACTGGAAGCCAAACTGTGATTGAATTCATAAAAATTTTGGAAACGATGATTGGTTCCAGAAAAACAAAAATGTGTGCACAATGAGAGACGGGTTGCCTTGGGTAGGGGAAAAGTTATATATACCAACAACTCAAAGAGTAACTTTCATGCACCTTTGCCATGACACAAATCAGCAGGGCATTTTGGATTTGTAAAAACTTTACATTTAATTAAACGGCAATTTTGGTGGCCATCCATGAAAAAGGACATAGAAAGTTATATTGCCAGCTGCCCAACTTGTGCATCTTGTGCAGAGGTTGCAAGGGAAATCACCAGGGCTATTACAACCAGTGGCAAATCCCTCAGCCCCCTGGAGGGAAATAGCCATGGATTTTATAGTGGAATTGCCAGAAAGCAATGGGAATACTGTTATCTGGACAGTCACGGACTTGTTTTCCAAACAGGTGCACTTTATCCCTTGCCAAAAGATTCCCACTGCAAAGGCCTTAGCAAAACTTCTCATCCAGCACATTTACAGATTGCACGGGGCACCCCAACGCATCATCTCTGATAGGGGAGTGCAATTTACGTCAGCATTTTGGAAGGAATTTTTATTCCTCTTAGGGACCACTCAGGGACTGACATCTAGCCATCACCCTCAGACAGATGGACAAACGGAACGTTGTCATTCAGTACTTGAGCAATATTTGAGATGTTTTTTAAATTTCCAACAGAGTGATTGGACGGACTTACTTCCTTTTGCAGAAGTTGCCTACAATAATGCAGTCCACTCCAGCACAGGCTACACTCCTTTTCAAATAGCCAACGGTCAAAGTTTCAACCCCATGCCAGAATTAACCCCAAACGAACCAACGATCCCTTCACTGAAAGAATGGATGGAAAAACTACAAAACACCTGGCCAATAGTTAGAAAAGCACTAGATGAAGCTAGGCAGGCATACAAAGCACAAGCCGATAAAAAAAAGGGTTGAGCCTACACCATTCATTATAGGAGAAATGGTGTACTTATCTACAAAATACCTAAAGTCCCTACAGCCCTGTAAAAAACTTGGACCAAAATATATAGGGCCTTTTCCAATTAAAAGAATCATAAACCCAGTAACAGTAGAATTAGAATTACCCAAAAATCTCAGGCAAATACACCCAATTTTTCATTGCAGCTTGCTGAAAAGAGAGCATCAGTCACCTCTACGGCCAAAAATCCCCCCCCCACCTCCAATCACGGTGGAGGGCGAACAACACTTCGAAATAAAGGAGATCCTTGACTCTAGGAGATATCATGGAGCAACTCAGTACCTAGTTGCCTGGAAACACCTCCCTCCCTCACAAAACGAGTGGGTCCATAAACGTCATGTCAGAGCCCCGAAGCTATTGAAGAAGTTTTCACACAGAGTACCCTAACAAGCCTGACTAACTTTTATACCTGTTTTGTTTCTTCCAGGTGGATCTCTCTTATTTTTGAGGGGGCCGGATGTCAGAATCCAATTATATTTCATCTTTAGTTATCAAATATAGAAAACCCCAATTCTGCCTTCTCTGGATTCTGCCATAAGAGGGAGAGAAGGGGGAGAACAAAGGGGCTTTATGGCCCTCACTTCCTTCAGTATACTTCTAAGGAACTGAATGTGTGTATTGCAACTTCAAAGAGTTTGAAGGTGGTTAGCACCAAAAGGCCTCATCATAACAAAGGAGGCTATTTACCTTTCATGTAGTTTATCTGAAGTCTCCATCCAGACGGAAGAAAGGAGAAAAGGGGGTGGGATTGTGATGCCTGAAACTGTCACTGGAAGAGGGGGGTGATTGGGTGGGACTACTGGGGAACCCCTTAAAACCTCGAATGGGAGAGCTTGAACCCCAAGTCCTGTCTAGCACGCCTGCAACCACTTTTTCTTAATAAAGGATTCCTGTTGGAAGAATTATTCCAAGAGTTCTGTCTTCTTAAAATGCAAAGTGGGGTGGGTCCTTACAGAGACTGTACCTGCCTAGAGCCAAATCTGCATGTCTATCCTGGGCAAGATCAAGTCAAGACTGGGATCTCTATGGTCCAGGATGGGCGTGGCAGCTTTAGCTGACTTGATCTGATTGGGCAGGAATACAATCTAAACCCAGTGGTGGATTCTCCATTTCCAGTGCTGGAGAATTTGCAGGAGCTCTAGTGAGATCCTGCTGCCCTTCTTCTGGCAGAAGTCAAAAAGTGGGGCAGGTCTGACATGTTCTTCTCTTCTAAAGGGCTTGTGGTGTAATGATATCAAAATGTTTCAGAAATTTAATTAATTCTTGGTTTTTTCCAGCTCTAAGATAATTTTGCAATTTTGGGTTGTTTAATGGCTTATCTTTTTGTTCTGTTAGAAGGATGCAAAGATCAATTGTATCAGACAGATAGTCCTGGCAGATGGCCCAATATAGAAAACACCAAAGGGCAATAGGTTTTCCTTCTCACTGAAGTCATAAAAGCGAAAAGAGGATGATGCTACCTCACTCTCTATATACATGCTCACAGATGGTAATTCTTATTGCATGCTTGCTTCTTTCTCTTGGCATACTGAGACTACACAGAGGCTATTTTGTAAACTGCCCTGCAGGGAATTTTAACCAAAGACAGTTCAACCTAACTGATACACATACAGACACACATGTATCAATACTTAAGAATGAACAAGGTACATAATCTGGTGGTATAGATTAACTTTCCTGACTTTCAGTTTTATCACTGGGAATTTTTACTTTGATTTCTGTAGGTATTGCAAGTGATCCAGCAAAAAAATGAATACATAGCTACTATGTGATCTTTGGACATTGTGACAGGAGCTTGGCCTTTTATTGCCAATTTAAAACATGTGATTTAATGCAGGAGGAATACATATTGCCTAAAATTATAAAATGGCAAAGTATTTATATTCAAACAAATTACCTCTTCATTTTATGAATCCAGAAATGTCAACAGGATCTAAACCTCACAAATTACTAGGACTGAAACATAGTACATGTTTTGTACACCTACTATATTTATTCTAAACAACTTAAAATATTGCTAGGTGAATATTAATTATTTGCAAGAGTTCTCAAATGAAGAATTGTAATACATTGTATTAACTAATAAAGATTTGGAACCTGAGAGTATTTATATAAGTATATATCAACTACCTACGGATGCCAAGCAATTAGTCAAGCATCCATTAATTCAAAAAGGTGGGACGATTTCTTGACATTAATTCTAAGGTAAAGGTTAACAACAAGGAAAAAGTACTTTAATTCTGAATAACAGAAACAAAAAGACATAATCGTGTGTAAAATTCTCAATTCCCAACAGTTATGGTATGTTACAGATAACACAGAATCATTTCTTATACCTTATTTTTACTATGCTTATAGTTATTATTTTAAAATTGATAAACTTAGTTTTTTTAAAATCTAAAAATTATAATCTGATATGATTTTATAGCATTATAATTGAGTTCTGAGTTCCATAGTCATTTCACAGTAGCTTTTATAATTTATGTCATTACTACAGTTTTGTAGCAATTGCCTTAAAAGCATAGGCTGTTCTTAAATATAGCTGTTAATCCTACAATTGATTTTGTAACCCTACAATTGATTCTGTAGCCCCAAATTAACAGCCAATAATAGCCACTTTTAGTTAGTCAAAAACTGAAACAAAGTCATTTGATTGATTGAATCCAGTTAAATGATTACTGGTCTGTGCATGAAGAACATTAATAGTTGGTATTTTATTGATGATCTAAAATATAACTTGGTATGAATTCAACATAATTAAAAGGAAATATCAGTTAAATATATATGTATACATACAACTTACCAAATAATTAATAATATAAAATCTATCATATTCTTGGTTTTTAGCATTGATTTTACGATGTTGCTTCTTCCTCATGTGGTCCTTGAGTTTGTTCTTATCCTCGAATGTTTTTTCACAGTATAAACATTGGAAACTAAGAGTTAGCAAAAGAAAAATGAAATTATTATAATACTATCAATTAGCAAAATTACTTGTGATGTTAATCAAAGTGGTTCATTTTTAAATATGTAAGACACTCTTTACCAGCATCAGAAAGCTATTTAAGAAAACTTTTATTAATAAATCATTCAAGCAACCTCTGCAGCATCTAAAATCAACTCTGTTCAATTGATAAACTGGAGAGGCAGTTTAATGTAATGGTTAAGGTATTAGCCTATAAACCAGGAAACTGAATTCTAATTCCACCTTAGGTATGAAAAACCAGCTGGGTGACTTTGAGCCAATCAGTCTCTCTCTCTCTTAGCCCAACTCACTTATAAGGGAAAAACAGAAGGAAAGAGTATTGATATGTTTGTGCCATGAGCTGCATATGAAAAAAAGACGGGATAAAAAAAATCTAAAAATAAAAATTAGAGTGCCTGGAATCTAGGCTCAAATATGACTTATATTATAACCAACCCACAAAAATAGGCAATAAAATTAATAAAGTAACTAGACAATAAAGTTAAGCAGCTAGGAGCACAAGTAGTGTTCTCATCAGTACTCCCAACAAAAGGCCAACACCCACTGAGGGAAAAAAGAATTCTAGAAATAAACCACTGGCTAAAGGGTTTGTGTTGCCAAGAAAACTTCGGTTTCCTGGACCATGCTCTGCATTTCCTATGCAACGGACTCTTGGCAAGGGATGGGCTGCACCTCATGAAAACAGGGGAAAATCTACTCAGAAAAAGACTGGCCCAACTCATTAGAAGGGCTTTAACCTAAAACTGAGGGGGAAAGATGACCAATCATTAGAATCTCTAGAACACAAAACCAATCATAAATCCCAAGAAAACAAATAAAAAAAGTAGGGAGTGATGAGAAAAAAGAAAAAATCAAACGACAATCAGGAGCTCTGGGAAACATACACATAGACAGACATAAAAGCCTTAAATGTTTATATACTAATGCTCAAAGCTTGGGGAATAAACAGGGTGAACTAGAAGCAATAGTATGGGTATGACATAGTTGGCATTACAGAAACCTGGTGGGACAAAACCCATGACTGGAATGGATTGATGGATGGATACTAATTGTTCAAAAGAAACAGAAGTACAAAAAGAGGAGGGGAAGTTGCACTATATGTAAGAGAATACTACGTATCTACAGAAATGCACATGATCAAAGATAAAGGCCCTCCAGAATCTATATGGGTCCATATAAAAGGAAAAAAAGTGACATTGCCATAAGGGTATACTACAGGTCACTCAACCAATCAGAAGAAATAGATAGACTCTTTCCCAACCAGTTAACAAATGTACAGTATGTAGGAAGCATACCATAGTAGTAATGGGAGACTTCAACTACCCAGATATCAGCTGGGAGACAAACTCTGCAGTGAGTGGGAGATCAAACAGATTGTTAACCAACCTAGCAGACAACTTTGTCACACAAAAGGTGGAGGAACGAATTAGACTTAAAGCTATACTGGACTTAATTCTTACTAATAGAGAAGAAGTGATAGAGAGAGTTGAAGTTTCTGGAACCTTGGGTGAAAGTGACCACATCATACTGAAATTTAATATAATGCGAACACTAGTAATAGAAAACAACCCAACGAATGTCTTAAACTTCAAAAGAGCTGACTTTAACAAACTCAGAGAGTACCTAGGAATGATCCCATGAATGAAAATCCTAAAGGGGAAAACAACCGAAGAAGCGTGGGAAACTCTGAAAAATGTGTTCATAAAAGCCCAGACTAGCACAAGAAAAAGAAAAACAAGAAATTCAAGAAGAAACCAGCATGGCTGCACAAATATCTCTCTGACAACTGAAAGACAAAAAGGTCAAATACAAAAAAATGGAAAGAGGGGCACATAACTAAGGCCAATTATGAGCAGACAGCCAAAACATGCAAAGATGAAATCAGGAAAGCAAATCTTTATTCAGAATGAATAAAGATTTGCAACAGAAATCAAGGATAATAAAGTTTCTTCCAACCTATTAACAAGAAAAAAGTCAACGAAATTGTAGGTCCACTAAAGCAGGGCTTTTCAACTAGTGGTACGGGTACCACCTGTGATACATTGGCACCTGGTAGGTGGTACACGACCATCCTAGAAAAGTAGCAGGGGAGGGGAATGAGCTGAACCGGTGGCAGCACCGCACTAGCCTGAGCGAGAGATGGCTGGAGCTGCAGGGGTGTCAGGGCTCAGCGGAAGCGCCAAGATCAGCCCTTCTTCGGGGCTGTCAGGGCTCAGTGGAAGTGCCAGGATCAATGCCAGGCTCCAGCTGGAGCTCGGCACTGATCCTGGTGCTTCTGCTGAGCCCAGAAGAAGCGCCAATCAGCTGGAAAGTTGCAGCATCTCCAGGGTCTTGTGATTTACATTCAGATGCTTAGCAACTGATTCATATTTATGATGGTAACAGTGTCCCAGGGTCATGTGAAGTGACCAAAACCTGCTGCAACCACCCAGCAGACGGGGGGGGGGGAAATAAAAACCAAACACCCCACACCCCACTGCCAATCCTCAACAGAAATGCTCAAAACAATGAAAACCTCGGACAGGAGGAAGAACGCCGCCTGGTGGACAGGCAGGTGTCTTGCTCGGCTGTGGCTCGGGGGGCACTTTTTTAATGCCAATGTAACTTCAAACACTCACTAAGCAAACTGTTGTAAGTCGAGGACTACCTGTACTTTATCACTTTTTTCCTTTTTTTGGGGGGGGGTCATCAAGTTTTTGACACCTTGCTAGGCAACTGGTGGTACTCGGATACTGCCGTATCCTAAAAGTGGTACAATGGGTGAAAAGGTTGAAAAGCCCTGCACTAAAGAGAGAAGATGGCAAGGAAACAACAGGCAATGGAGAAAGCATCAGTCTTCACACAAAAAGAAACTATAGCCCAACACACCAAAAAAAAAAAAAAAAAAAAAACCCACTGCAAAACTAGAAACAAAAATTAAAATAAGCAAGAAAATGGTAAGAGAACACCTCTCTGACCTTGACAAATATAAATCACCAGGACCCAACAGATTACATCCCAGAGTTCTTTTTTTTAAAATATTTTATTAAGTTTATATAAATAAGGAAAAAGTAGGAACAATGCGGGTATGGGGGGGGAAAGGGATGGGGGATTTAGGATGGAATAAGGATAGGTACAATAATCACATATTTTAACAAACAAGCTACCGTCTGGATCATAATGAGTAAATATCATACTCAACCATTTTTAAAATAGGATTAACTATAACCATATTACTAACAATTAGTAAACAAATAAATTCATCTATGTAAATAAACATGAATAATAAAATCTCAACTAGTCATGATTATTAACATTAACGGTTAGAAATCACTAAATCACTAAAAATAAAGATGTTATCAACCTATAAATTATAACTCAGTTAAAAAATCAATCATCTATTCTAAAATATTAAGTCCTTTTCAGATTCTAATGCGTCTCTAACCATTGATAAAAATTTTCCCAAGTTTTAAAATAAACTGAATCATCTTTTTCTTTCATCTCCAATGTTAATCTATCCATTTCTGCACACTCTAACATTTCAGTAATTATAGCCTGGTCAGATGGTAGATTCTCATTTTTCCAAAATTGGGCAAATACTATCCTTGCAGGTGTTGAAACATGCAGTATCAAGTAGTCATTCTCTTTACCATAATTAGGTCTTAATATTCCTAGCAAAAACAATTCCGGTTTAAATTCTATCTGTATTTTCATCATCTTTTCCAACCATCTATGGGGCTTAGACCAATATTTCTTAGCATTAGGGCATATCCACCAGGCATGGTAATATGTGCCTAGCTGTTGTTTACATTTCCAACAAGTATTTGAAACATTTTTAAACATTTTTGCTAAGTGAACTGGTGTCATATGCCATCTGTAAAACATCTTGTATAAGTTTTCTTTATATGCTGCTGCTTTTGTAAGCTTAATATTTTTATCCCAAAGTTTTTGACAGTCTTCTAAGTCTATAGAATATCCAAAGTTCTTTGCCCATACTATCATTGTTTCTTTCACTTGTTCTTCTTCCATTTTCCAGTTTAAAAGAAATTTATAGTTTCTTAATCAAATTCTCATCTGTTTTTAACAAAATTTTATCTAATGGAGTCTGTTCTTTGTAAAATCCTGTTGATTTTATATCTTTTTCGTATCTTGTTTGAATTTGCAAATAGGACCACCATGTTAAGTCAATACCTTGTTGTTGAAGAGTTCGCCTGTCCTTAAGTTTTCCATCTTTGTCCAAAATATCTTTATAACTAACCAGTTTATCATAGTTAATCAGGTTTGGGTAAGCAAATGCTTCCATTGTTGAAAGCCACTCAGGTATTTTCATATATATTTTATGTTTAATTTTCTCCCATTCTGAGAGTAGTATGTTTCTTATAGCATGATTTTGAAAGTATGCGCTTTAGTTTTCTCATACCATATAAAAGCATGCCAACCTAGTTGAAGATCGTGTCCCTCTAAATAAAGCAATCTTTTATTTCTCAATACAATCCATTCTTTGAACCAAAGCAGAATAGCTGCTTGACAATAAAGTCTCCAATCTGGAAGTCCAAAGCCCCCTCTAGCTTCTTGTAACAGTTTACATTTGATTCTAGCTTTTTTTCTTTGCCATATAAATCTTAAAATCATTGCATTTAGATCATCAAAAAAATTCTTACTCAGTTTAACAGGAACTGTTTGAAATAGAAAAATTAGCTTTGGTAAAATTTTCATCTTGATTGTCGCTATTCTTCCTAGGAGTGATAATTGAAGATTTTCTCACCTTTCCAAGTCTATTTTTATTTATTTCATTAATCTCTCATAATTATCTTCTTTTAATGTAGTATATTTTGCACTTAAATAAATGCCCAAATATTTGACTTTTTTAACTATTTGAAGGTTTGTCATTTTAGCAAGTTGAATTTTTTGTTTATCTGTTAGGTTTGTTAATACTTTAGTCTTTTCCCTATTTATTTTCAGTCCAGCCAC